GAGAGAGAGAGACGGGCAGAGAAACAGAGAGAAAAAGAGAGACAGAGTAAGAGAGACAGAAAGAGAGAGAGAGAGAGAGAGAGACGGGCAGAGAAACAGAGAGAAAAAGAGAGACAGAGTAAGAGAGACAGAAAGAGAGAGAGAGAGAGAGAGAGACGGGCAGAGAAACAGAGAGAAAAAGAGAGACAGAGTAAGAGAGACAGAAAGAGAGAGAAAAAGACAGAGAGAAAAAGAGAGACCAGTAAGAGAGAGACAGAGAGAGAAAGAGAGAGAGAGAGAGAGAGACGGTCAGAGAGACAGACAGAGAAAAAGAGAGACCAGTAAGAGAGAGACAGAGAGAGAGAGAGAGAAAGAAAGAGAGACAGGCAGAGAGACAGGGAGAGAGAAAAAGAGAGACAGAGTAAGAGAGAGAGACGGGCAGAGAGACAGACAGAGAAAAAGAGAGACCAGTAAGAGAGAGACAGGGAGAGAGAAAAAGAGAGACAGAGAGAGAAAGAGAGAGAGAGACGGGCAGAGAGACAGAGTAAGAGAGAGAGAGAAAGAGACAGAGAGAGAAAGAGAGAAAGAAAGAGAGACAGGCAGGCAGAGAGACAGAGAGAAAAAGAGAGACAGAGTAAGAGAGACAGAAAGAGAGAGAGAGAGAGAGAGAGAGAAAAAGAGAGACCAGTAAGAGAGAGACAGAGAGAGAGAGAGACAGAGTGAGAGAGACAGAGACAGAGAGAGAAAGAGAGAAAGAAAGAGAGACAGGCAGGCAGAGAGACAGAGAGAAAAAGAGAGACAGAGTAAGAGAGACAGAAAGAGAGAGAGAGAGAGAGAGAGACGGGCAGAGAGACAGACAGAGAAAAAGAGAGACCAGTAAGAGAGAGACAGGGAGAGAGAAAAAGAGAGACAGAGAGAGAAAGAGAGAGAGAGACGGGCAGAGAGACAGAGTAAGAGAGAGAGAGAAAGAGACAGAGAGAGAAAGAGAGAAAGAAAGAGAGACAGGCAGAGAGACAGACAGAGAGAAAAAGAGAGACAGAGTAAGAGAGAGAGAGAGAGAGAGAGACGGGCAGAGAGACAGACAGAGAAAAAGAGAGACCAGTAAGAGAGAGAGAGAGAGAGAGAGACGGTCAGAGAGACAGACAGAGAGAAAAAGAGAGGGGCAGAGGCAGAGAGGACAAACAGACAGAGACCCAGAGAGAGCGAGAGACAGAGAAAGAGAGAAAGAAAAAGAGAGACACACAGAGAGAGACAGAATGAGTGAAAAGTGAACAATACACCCAAGGCTGGGTGTGGCAAGAGGTGGCTGGGAGGGGAGGGGCAAATAATTTAACAACCTGATCTAATGACGGGCTGGGTAGGCATGGCTGGGTGGTCATGTGACTGGGTGAGTGACGTTGAGTTGGCCATGCCCAACCAGTCACACCGGTTGTTAAATCATTGGCTGCCGGTGTTTTCTGTGGGAAACGGGTCCAACTGGGTCTTTGAGTGTTTAAGGTTGCCGATCCCTGGTTTAGTGCCAAAGAACAGAAACAGGTCCCACGTCTTTTCTTTCTCTTTGCCCAAGAAAGCCGACATGATGGTCCCAGGATTTGATGGGACAGTTTCAGATCTGACCCGCGTCGTGTCTTTCTCTTTAGTGGGGACCCCTGGAAACTCTGGAGACCGCCATCCTACCCAAATACCGCACCATGAACCCGTGTCCGGTGTACGACGCCAAGGAAGGCACCGTTTTCTTGTTCTTCATCTGTGTTCTCGACCACATCACAAACAGACAGCAGATCCGGAGAAGCAAAAACGCGGCCAGGCTGGGCTGCATCTTCAGCAAAGATGGCGGACGCACCTGGAGCCCAATGACGGACTTGACCCAAGAGGCGATTGGAAATGATGTGAGCAACTGGGCCACGTTTGCTGTGGGACCCGGCCACGGGGTGCAGTTGAGCTCTGGGCGGCTGGTCGTCCCAGCCTACGCTTGCTACATCCACGCACGTCTCTTTGGACACCCGCTCTTCTGTGGCACCAAGCCTCACTCCTTCACCTTCTACAGTGACGATGGCGGGAAGACGTGGCTGAAGGGCCACCTTCTCCCGAAACCGCTGCAGGCGTCGGAGTGCCAGATGGCTGAGTTGGTGGACCGGAATAATAGCCTGGTGTTATACTGTAACGCCCGCAGCGGTGGCCCATACCGACTTGAGCTCTTCAGCAAAGACGGGGGATGCCGCTTCGAAGCGCCAACCCGATCTCAGAAGCTGCAGGAAACACACAATGGTTGCCAGGGTAGCGTGGTGAGTTTTCCTTCCCCACAACGGGGATCGGAGTCTTCCTTGGCCTCCTCAAAAACCCCTGAATCGTGGCTGGCCTTCTCCTATCCCACCAACCGAATGAAGCGTGCGGATCTGGGCATCTACTTGAACCCCCGTCCGTCGGAGGGAAATTTCTGGAAGACCCCTTGGATCTTGAACACGGGACCCAGTGGCTACTCGGATCTGGCTGTTTGCACAGGGGAAGATCCCCTCTTCTTCGGCTGTTTGTTCGAATGTGGAGCGTCGACGCCCAGTGAAGAGATCGCCTTCCAGTTATTCAGTGATGCCAAAGTCCTGAAAGAAAAGGAAAGGCAGTAAAGAAAAACAGTAAATAGTGAAACAAGAAAATATGAAAAAAAATAGAGATGTATAGAATTATATAGATTATATAAAACATAATAAAAACGGAAAGGAAAGGAAAGGAAAAGCGGTAAAGAAAAAGAGTAAACAGTGAAAAAAAGAAAATATGAAAAAATAATTATACAATAATTCTACAGAAGCGGTTTCTGATCTTGACAGTAGTTTTAGATGCATTTATATTTTTTGCCAGGGAATTGCGCAGCCCGTGTCCAAATGAAATCAGAGGCACTGAGATGAACTTGTAGACGATGAGATCGCCTTCCAGCTGTTCAGTGGTTGCAAAACTCCTAAAAAGAATTAATTCCCTCCAAGCCGGGCCACTTTTGGGAAAAGTGCAGAGAAGAGCAACTAAGACGATTAAAGGGCTGAAGGCAAAAACATAGGAAGGAGGGTTGGAGTATTTGGGTTTGGCCAGTCTAAAAAAAGAAGGACTTGGGGGGCGGGGGACATAATAGCAGTCTTCCAGTATTTGAGGGGCTGCCCCCCAAAGAAGAAGA